TCTGAAGTCAGGGCTCTGCTTGAGATTTCAGTTCATCCTGTCCTGTTAATGTGATTAAATTCTACTTCTGAGCCCTGCTCCCTGAGGCCCATGACTTTATGGAATGGATTCCGCATTTTCTTCACAAACCTCACAAGCTGGGATCATCATCTTGTTTGCATTTGGCTTCTGAATCTGTCGTGGGGACTTCTAGGAAATCAGCAATGAGTGGTTCTAATAATTGCTAATTCTTGGAAAGAGCCTACAACAACTTGGCCAAAGACAATGGGTGGGGCGAAGCAGTCCTCAAAGATGACATTTCTCCTGCATTCCGTTCCAGGTCTCCAGTTCCAGTTCCTCATAAAAAGTTCTGTGTTGTTCCAAATTTCAGGGATTTTTCAGGAAAATCACCAAAACGATGTCAGCATCATTAGGGCGCGTTTTTCAAGAATTCCTTCGAGCTGCTTCCTTCCCTCCAGACCCCAGCCAAATAAAATAAATCGTTTTCTAGGATGCATTATTGGAACCCTGTAGAGCAGCATAACTGACAAGATCGTATTCTCAGGGCTGGAGATGTAGCTCAGGGGTGGAGCACTTGCCTAGCATGCACAAGGCCCTGGGTTCAACCTCCATTATCAAAAAGAAAAAACAATCAAATTCTCAGAAGACCCTGCTCTAGAGCTTTCAGAGTTCATAAATCCAGAATAACATTTAGGACTCTCTCCTCCCAGTGTGTACTTTTTCATCACTTTAGATCGACCCATGATGTCCTTTCTGTTTCTGAGCAAGTCAGTACTCATCTTATGAGTTGGTATTTTTGGCCTTAATTCCTTGTCATCAATCAGCTCAGTGGACAACCTGGAATCGACCAAGTTCCTAGAGGACAAGAGATACCATCTAGTTGTGCAGGGCACAGCTCCAGCCCCAAATGCAGCTCTTTGTCTCCCATATATTTGAGGGTCTCCTTTGATGCTGTTGCTGCCTTCACACCCACCATGATGGCCTAGCTCTGTCCACAGCTCTAACCTCGATGAATTTCCATTGCTGGAAGGAGGCAACCAGATCTGACCAGCTCCAAGGTCACAACTTCATGCCAACTGGCAAGTGGGCGTTTCACACCTTCCACTGGGAGAGGAGTTAAGCTGCAGAAAGTAGCTTGAGTTACATTCCAGGGTCCAGCCAACTTGGCAACCCCATGGGTCAAGGCTGGTGTGTGGCCAGCACTAAGTTCAGCACAACTAAAAAGCATAAATCAGTGCTTCCCTGTGGCATTACATACTCAGTACCTCTGCTACCATGCTCTTCTTAATACTTTTCTTCCTCCTGTCAGGAGTCTCCTCTCCACATCTCTCTCCTTCTGCAAGTGGAGCCCATCTTCCATGTTGGTGTTGATAGTAATGAATGCCATGGGCCATGATGAAGAACACAATGTCCTCTGCCCCATTCAATCTCAAGTTAAACTTTGGCCACAGCCAACCCCGCCCAGGCAACCCCACAGTCTTGAGGTTTTCTCACCAGTTCTGGATATCTGAGTTTTTGTCAGAAATTGGAGATGGGAGTCTCAGCTCTACAACATCAAAAGCTCTAGAACATCTTTCCAGACATTTGAGCATCCTCAGAGGCTAGAGATGGAGTCTCAGCTCTAGGAAATCAAGGAGATCCCTCTTTCTGGACATCTGAGCTGCAGATGGAGTCTCTGCTCCAGAACATTGAGGGGAGTCCTCTTTCTGGATATATGAGCTTCACTGGAGGCTGGAGATGCAGCCTGAGCTCTACAACATCAAGGAATTCCTTCGTTCTGCATATCTGAGTTTCAGAAGCAAGAGCCAGAATCCCAACTCTACAGTGTCAAGCAGCTGACACCTAAACATCATCAAAGACTAAAGCTCTAGAAAATCAAGGACATCCCTCTTTCTAGACATTTGAGCTTCATCAGAACTGGAGCTAGAGTCCCAGCTCTAAAATATCAAGAAAGTACCTCTTTTTGAACATTTGAGTTTCGTCACAAGCTGGAGCTGTAGTCTTGACTCTAGACCACCAAGAAGGTCCAGAAAGATGGACCTTCTCGAAGCTTCACTGGAAGCTGGAGATGTAGTCCTGGCTTCACTGGAAGCTGGAGATGCAGGCCTGGCTCTAAAGCATCAGTGAGTCCCCTGTTTCTGGACATCTGGACATCTTTGAGCTGGACATCTCAAAGGCCAGGTCTAGAGCATCAGTTTCCTCTTTGCAAATATCTGAGGTGCATCAAAGGTATGAGCTGGAGATCTGACTCTAGAATATCAATCAGGTCCATCTTTCTAGACATCAGAGTCTCACTGAAAGCTGGATATGCAGTCCTGGCTATAGAGCATCAAGGAGTCCTCTCTTTCTGGATATCAGAGTCTCAGAGGCTGGAGTTGGAATTCCAGCTTTGGAATATCAGAGTTTTCTCTTTCTGGGTATCTAAGCTTCAAAAGCTAGAGCTGGAGTCCTGGCCCTAAAATATCAACTTGTCCACCTTTCTAGATATCGGAGTTTCACTGGAGGCTGGATATGCATTCCTACATCTGGAACAAGGTGTCCTCTTTCTGGACATCTGAGTCTCAGGCACTGGAGCTGGGATCCCAGCTCTAGAACATCAAAGGAGTCCATCTTTTGGAACATCTGAGCTTCATCAAAAGCTAGAACTAGAGTCCTGACTCTACAACATCAAGGAGGTCCCACTTTCTGGATATCTGAGCTTCACTAGAGGCTAGAGCAAGAGTTCTGCCTCCAGATCAACAAAGAGGTCCTTTTCTGAACATCTCAGCTTCACTGGAAGCTGGGAATGCAGCCAGCTCTAGAACATTAGGCTGGTCCATCTTTCTGGATGCTTGAACTTTGCCAGAGGTTGAGGTAGAGTCTTAGCTTAGAACATCTAGGAGAACCCTCTTTCTAGGTGCCTGAACTTCACTAGAGGCTGGAGATGGCTTTCAGCTCTAAAGGATGAAGAAAAATCTTCTTCTACACATATGAGCTTCCTCAGGGCCTGGATCTTTAGTCTTTGCTTTAGAATATCAAAGAACTTCCTATTTCTGGACATCTGCACTCCACTGGAAGCTGGAGCTGGAGTCCTGGCTCTAGAATATCAAGGAAGTGCTTCTTTCTGGATGCTTTACCTTTATCAAAGGCTAAAGTCAGGGTCTCAGCTCTAAAACATCAAAACAGAGGACTCATTCTGAATGTCCATGGTTTGTCAGAGGCTGGAGCTGGGGTGTTGGCTGTGAGACATTAAGTGGGCTCCTCATTCTGGATGTCTAAGCTTCATCAGAGGCTGGACCTTAGCTCCCAGTACTGGAATGTCAAGAGGGTATCCTATTTGGGGCAGAGGCTGAAGGTGGAGTTTCTTTCCTGGAATATCAAGGAGGTCCTTTTTGGACATCTGAGCCTCATCAGAGGATAGAGCTGGAGTCTCAGCACTGGAGCACCAGAAGGGAACTCAATCTGGAGGGCTGAGCTTCATTGGAGGCTCTCTCACCACATGAAAGACTTTCCTGGACTCAGCTGGTCACGGACTCATCTAGATTAGGCACCGCTAGAAGCCATCTCCTGCTCTTCTCTCTGCTGCCTGCACTGTCACTCCACACCATTCATTCCAGTCTCTATGAGGGGCTGAGGTTACATCTTCTAGGCTGGGTCACAGCCATGATTCTCAAGGTAGGTCTTTTCCTTAACAAAGGGGTCATGCTCAGTCCTTTGCACTTATAAATGGACTTGCCTGCAGATCTCGAGGTCGCTCTCTGTAAGGAAAAGAGGGGAGGGGTAATGGGGAAGGGAAGGAGGAAGAGGAGGAAAAGGAGGAAAACAAGGAGGTGGACAGAAAAGAGGAGGGGGGAGAAGGAGGACAAAAGTGGAGGGAGGAGGAGCAAGAATAAAAGAACAGGGAGGAGGAGGAAGGAAAGGATAAGGAATAGAGAAGAGGAAGAGAGGGAGGAACAGGGAGAGGTGGTAGCAGTGGCCATGGTGACCACTGTGATGGTGATGGCCATGGTGGCAGCCTTGGTGGCAGTGGCCATGGTGACCATAGTCATGGCGATGGCCATGTTGGCAGCTGTGGTGGCGATGGCCAAGATGGCAGCCTTGGTAGCGGTGGCCATGGTGACCATAGTCATGGTGATGGCCTTGTTGGCAGCTGTGGTGGCGATGGCTATGGTGGCAGCCTTAGTGGTGGTGGCCATGGTGACCATAGTCATGGTGATGGCCATGTTGGCAGGTGTGGTGGTGATGGCCAATATGGCAGCCTTGGTTGCAGTGGCCATGGTGACCACTGTCATGGTGATAGCCATGGTTGCAGCTGTGGTGGCGATGGCCAAGATGGCAGCCTTGGTTGCAGTGGCCATAGTGACCACTGTCATGGCGATAGCCATGGTTGCAGCTGTGGTGGTGATGGCCATGGTGGCAGTAGTAGTCAACTCCTCCTCGGTCATCTCCTCCGACTAAGCCAGGTACAACAACCTCCTTGGTCCTCACTGCCTCCCCCGGGGCTGCCACATGCTGCTGCAGGACTGCCCCTGTCAGTTACATGGGCACAACGCTCACCTCCCCAAGCCCACTGGCCAGGCAGGGTGGGCTGAGGAACTATCTCTGCGACTCACACAGAGACCTACTCAAGACTGAGTGTTGTCCCAGGGTCCTGGTCAGGCTGGCTTCTCAGCCATGGTGGCCCCTTGGCCAGGCCCCTAACATGACCCTGGGGAACATAGAAGGAGGAGGAGGAAGAGGAAGACTTGCAGCCCTGGAGAGACATCCGCTCTAGGCTCCAGGGACCAGGGCAGTGAGCCCTTCCCCAAAGCCAGACTCCCTCCACTTCCTGTCCTGCATTCCTTTCTGGAGCATGGGAAAGTTCGTCTGTCTGAACACCCTGGAGTCCCCATTCCGTAGGGCACTGGTAGCTTCCTGGGTCCTGAGCTGGCTCCCACCCGTCCCCCATCATGCTGCAAAAGGAAGCCCCCACCAGGCAGAATGTCCAACTCCCCCTCCTCAGATTAGTAGCACATCACTGCTTTGGTTAAGACAAGAAACATTTATTGAGAGCACGAGAAGTCGAGCCCAACCCGGCGTTTTGGAACCACATCCCAGTGCCTCTTGGCAGCCCTGTGATGGGAGGCAGGTGTCCGAGCCCACTTCACAGAGGCGGGCAGTGGAGGGTCCTCAGCTCCCCCAAGTCTCAGCGTGCAGGGCTGGGTGGCTGACCCCGGGGTCAGCGCAGTCCATCGGTCAGAGGGCGCCTCTCTACTCAAGGGGAGGCCCGGTCCAGAATCTCTGGGTCCAGCCTCTCCCGTGGGAACGTGCGCTGGGCGTCCCCGTGGCTGTGAAGGCTGAGAAAGACACAGTTGCAGATGAAGGCCACCTGCTCCCGGTCCCACAGAATGACACGAGGTCTCATGCAGGCAGGCAGGCCGGGGAGGGGGGAGAGGACGGCAAGGCCCTCTCTGGGGAAAGCATGGCCAGCCACGGTGGCAGGGGGGCAGCACACACCTCCAGCTCTGCCCCAGCCCAGAATCTAGGGCGCTCCAGCTTCTAGAAACCACACCCAGCCTCTCACCCCTCTCCTCCCCTGTTACACTCACAGGTTCTTCTAAAGCCCCACCTCAGCCTCCTCTGGGTGGCTTCTCAAAGTTCTAACTGACCCTCTCACCTCTCTCTCTGTACTGGGGATGGACCCCAGGGCCTCCACACTGAACTACATGCCCAGCCCTTTTTAATATTTTTCTTTTGAGACAGGGTCTCACTGAGGCTGAGCTCCACCTTGTGATCTTCCTGCCTCAGCCACCCAGAGCATAGGGACGACAGGCATGCACTGGCACACCTGGCTCTGCCTCCCCTGCCCCTCCACACTTGCTGACTCTTAGTATTTAAATGCAAATCTTTCTCCCATTCTATCCGCCCAGTGCAGGCTGTGTGCTGCCCCTCCAAGCCTTCTGCTCTGCCCAGCAGAGTTTTGGGGAGTACAGTGCATCTTTACCCAGCTCCACAGCAGCCAGGGGCCCCCGGGAGGGCAGGGCCAAGAGCGCCTGTGTACTAGGTAACAAAACATTTATTTCCACGTGAACTGTCTCATGGAATTCCACAATAACCCAGCCAGGTAGGTGTAACTCTTTCCAGGTTACAGGTAAACAAACTCGCCCACAGTCAGTTAGGGGGCAAGGGCAGCCACAACCCCAGACCTTGATTCTCATGAGCCAATGCGAGCCACACAGTGAAGTTCAAACCTCATGCTGGCTGCTCCCAGCCAGACTGGAACAGAACCAGTCAGTGCCAGTGACTTCCATTTCTTCAGGAGGCAAAAAGGAGGCTCAGGATGTCCCAAGCAAACTGCCCAAGGGTGCTTACCGGGGCCAGAACCCAGATGGGCAAGGCACTGGAGCCCCAGCCCTGGGCATGAGCCCCTGCCCTGGTTTGGGGAGGACAAGAATGGAAAAAAAGGAATCAAGGTCTGGAGTCCAATCACCTCTCACCTCCGGACTGCAGGGAACCCGCCCACAACTGCATGCCAAACCCGGCCCACATCTCACAAGCCCATGCAGATGGCACCGGTGGTACAGACAGACTTTTTGGGCCCCCAGGGCAAGGGCTCCCAAGGCTTCGGGAGAGGGCTCGGGCATGGCCAGGTCATCCCTATGGTGTGGTACTTGCCAAATGCCACATAATCAAAATCGCCCAGCCATATCACCAACGAGAACATTTTAGCCCATATGATGCTTTATTCTGGATATAAATATTTCCCGAGTTGAATTTGCACCACGACGGACCTCAGTGGCTGCCCGTGCCCTGATAGAGGTCTCAGCACAGGCAGAGACCCCTGGGGCCTCTGAGGGGCCTCTGCTGAGAACACACACCCTTTCCTCTCAGAGGAAGGGCAGAGACATCAGCCAAACAGTCCCCACTGTCCACCCGGTCACCCCTGCCCTCTGCAGCAGAGAGCAATTGTTAAGGCACCTAACAGGGCAGGAAGCAGGGTAGGAAGGGTCACAGCAGCATGGGCCTTGGACGGGGATTGCGTGCAGTTTAGCCATGACCTCCCTGCCCAACCCGGAGGGCCCAGCCCCGGGCCCCACAGGCCTGTCCTGAGAGGAGCCAAGGCCCACAGGAACAGATGTCAATCCCCAGACGCTGAGCCCCCGGGAGGAGGCCCATGTCCCTCTCCCTACTGAGGGCCCTGGAAGCAGGGAGAAGGCCCTGCATGCTCCCACAAGGCTGCCAGGGTCAGGGATGCAGACCCCGCAGGCTATGCTGCAATCCCCTGGCCCGCCTCGCCACAAAGCCCGAGGGAGGGGACAACCAGGGAACCTATGCTGGTGATCTGGTGGCAGGTGTCACGGGACAGAGGAGTGGCAGCCACACATAACAGGAAAAGTAGGGCTCCTGCTGGAGGAGGCCAGGTGGACAGGACCAAGGCCAGACAGGCGTGAGGGCCCGACCACAGATGCTGGGGAGCCAGAGCAGAAGGAGGGAACCTGGGGGTGTCTGGGGAAGGGAGAGCAGCATGGGAATGGGAAAGCTGAGTATTGCTCCCCACAGAGGCAAGGACTGGAAAGGGAAGTCCATAGCGTGATGGAGAAACCCCCATCAGAACTGACCTGAGATGCATCCATTTACCTAAAAATGTCTCAAGTGTGCTCTTCTTTATGGCAGAGTAGTACTCCATTGAATTTAAATACCACATTTTCTTTATCCATTCATCTACTGACGGGCATCTGGGCTGTTTCCAAGATTCAGCTATTATTAATTGTGCTGCTATAAACATGGGTGTGTGTGTATCACTGTGGTATGATGCCTTTAACCCTTTCAGGAAGATATCAAGAAGGGGAATAGCTGGGTTGAAACTAGGGGAAACCTCTGGTTTTAGTTTTTTGAGGAAGCTATGCTGATTTCCACAGTGGTTGCACCAGTCTACAATCCCACCAATGGAGAAGGGTTCCTTTTTCCACACAGCCCCGCCAGCATTTGTTATTGGCTGATTTCTTAATGACCGCCATTCTTTCTGGAGTGAGATGGAATTCTCAGTGTGGATTTAATTTGCATTTCTCACATAACCAGTAATGCTGAACTTTTTATTTTTTGGTACTGGGGATCGAACTCAGGACCTTTCACTTGCGAGGCAGGTGCAGCGCCACTGAGCTAAATCCCCAGCCTGAACATTTTTCATGTACAAAGTCCACCAAAAAATGTATACATAAGGAAAGAAAAAGTTGTATAAATATTTTAATATTGAATTTACTGAGACATCATGAGACTAATACAAGGTACCTTTGGCCTCTACAATCACAAGGGATGCTCAGCGTGGTGACTGTGAGCTTCCAGACAGCTATTAGTACAGCGAATGCACAAAGAGCTGCAGTGTGTATACATTTTTTGTCAGACTCTGTATTCATCTGCTGTTTGTACTTCTTCATCTGAGAAGTACCTGTTCATTTCAGATGCCCATTTTTGGATTGGGTCTTTAAATTGGGGAGGGCTGATTTGTTTTTAGTTCTTTATTCTAGATATTACATAAATGCATGCACCTCAAAATCACAATTTTAAGTAAAATAACTCAGACACAGAAGTGTAAATATCATGTTGTTTTTCTTGTGTGAGAAACCTAAAGAGAAAATATGGAGCAAAATGGAAGACAGATATTGGGAAATAGGAAAAATATGTTCAAATGGGAAGGGGAACAAGAAAGGGGAGAAGAAAAGGTACAAAAGGAAAAGGGATTTTTAAAAAGAGAATGGAAGGGGCCGGGGATGTAGCTCAGTGGTTCCGAGTTTGATCCCCGGTACAAAAAAAAAAAAAGAGAGAGAATGGAAAGAATGGAAACAAGGCTTTTGTAAATGGGGAGGTGAAGAAGTTGAAGGGTGGGGAGGGGAATAGGAAAAAAGAATTAAGAAATATTATGCACCGGTACAAATTCCCTATAATGAATGGGATCATTAAGTATGGTAAACATGTACTAATAAAAACAAATTTTTTAAGAAGTGACCCGAGAGGGTGCCAGGGCTGACCAGAAGCCCTGAAGAGCTGTGGCCTGCTTAGGGACCCCGCACCCCATCTGCACACTCAAGGAAATGATGGGGTGATGAGGGGAGTTGGACTGGCTATCCACGCAAGACTGTGACACCCAGGCCCTGACACCCAGCATCCCGGTTCTCAGCGTGCCCGTCAGCTGAGTGGGCCCCACACCACAAGGATGGTAGGTGGCAGAAAGTGAGCCAGAGCCCTGCGCTTGGTGGCTAGCCAGGGAGAGGGGGAAGGGGTGTGCTGAGGTCTCAGCCCCCAGAGATGCTACCTGAAGCCCCCACCCTCTCTCTAAGCCACCCCTACTGTCCCTCCCAAACCGAGCACACCAGCACTAGCAGGGCACCTCCCAGCAGTCAATGGCCCCCGCGGTCCCCAAAGCTGAGTGGCCCAGCCAGCCCAGGAAGCAACAGCCCAGGAAAGAAAGGGAGGACAGGGGGCAGCGGGCAGCCCTGAGCAGGGGGAAAGCCACCCCACCCATAGCCTAGACATTTACCCTGGGGCCCCACAGCCGGGCACAGGCAGCCTGCTCGGCCGGTGTGTCCACTGGCTGTTGGAAATACAGCCTCAGCATGAGGGCGATGCTTTTTATTCACTTACAGCTAATAAAGGCATCATTAGTGCATTCCAAAACACACACGCACACGCATGCACACACACACACGCACACACAACCCACGTGTGACCTTCCCCATAAAACCCGCGTGAGCACTACCACAGCCACGGTGGACCCAGCCCTTGGCCCTCACAACCCCGTGAGGTGGGCTCTCTAGGGACTCACACCTCCGAGAAAGACACTGAGGATCAGAGGCAAAGGGACCTCCCAGGACTGCTCCAGTGAAGCAACTCCGAGGTCTGCCAGGTTCCAGAGCGTGGGCTCTTTACAACAGCGGACACAGGCTCTCCTCACACGCCGGAAGCCTGGTTGTCCAACAGCATGGCGCAAGGTGTAAGATACAGCGCAGCAATTGCTAACAGGTTCATTAAGGGCAGGATACAATGTCGCGACAGTGGCCACTTGACAATGTTATAACATGGTGAACAGCTGTCCACACAGGGACGGGGATGGTGGGGCAGGGGGGAGGGCAAGGCCCTGCCACGGGCCTGGTGCTGTGGGAGGCACCCAGATGTTGTCAGGGAAGAAAGGATGCTGGGAAGGGGACAGTTGACAGCGTGTGCCTAATACACCGCTGGGAGGGGACTTTGGAGCGGGACTAAGTGGGTGCCACCCACAGGCCAGTCAGCAGCGTGGCTCAGCACAGTACCAACCCTTCACGGGGGCTGTGAACGTGTACCGGGTGGGGGGAGCCAGGGGCAC